ATCTCAAAAAGTCATGCGGCATGCTTTTTTATAGCGTCACAAATGTTTGAGTTTTCAAACACTAATTTAACAACCGTCGCAACAATTTATACACTTTTGCGGACGAAAAAAATCTCAAAATTGCTGGCAAGTCACTTACTTATCTGTTTAATGAATAACGATTGCTAACAATATTTGAAAAAAAAAAACCAACAATAATTGCAATAGAAACTAACATCTTTCATCGTTCCTGGCCTGTAATATACAGATTTTTCTAAACAAAAAGCTTCAAACAGCCCTGCTTTTCCCTATTCCAAGGACTGATTGCATTGCAGTCTGCTAATGAATTACTGTTGGTAATGAAATTCTACAATGCGACCAGTGCTCATTGTAAAAGTTGGTTGGGGGTATGTTGTTGTAAAGTTGAAACAAAATTCTAAAAACCCCAAAGCTCATTAACATCATTTGTGATTTCAGAAAATAATCTCATACTCAATCACAATCCCTCTTGTTCCACCTTCTCTGATTTATAAAAAATTACCTAGAGCGAAGCAACAGTTAATAAAAATAAAGAAAAACTCATTTTTAAAAAATACTAGATTTAGTACAATAATAAAACAAATTTATTCCTAAACTTTCCTTGGAACCTCTTCTCCACACTTCACACGAAAACCTAGAAATAAGAATACAAATAGGTACATGCAAACTACAATTTGAAGAAACACATTTTAATCAAAAAAAAAAAACCCTCAAAAGAAAAAAAATATTTTTATATTTGAAACATAAGGATCATTGACAAATGCCAGTGAGTTAACAAAACTAAATTTGTTCGGTTTCTGTCACCCAGCAGCGAACATTGATAACAGCAGCAACAAGAAATATTGCACCCTCATTGCCACTGACTTACTCACACAAATGCCAGTGTTAGTCGGTTAGGTGTGGTCTGCTACAGCGGTACCAGGACAGTCTTTAAAAGTGCATTAGGATTTATGGTAGTCTCTAGAAAAACATTGTCCTAAATCATTATTCAACTAATAACAACTGCTGTTCGAAACCTCTCTTTAGTTAAACTAAAAGTTTTCTCTCTTTTAACATTTAAGTTTCGCTACAACTACAGCCTGTAGCAACTTGCTTCAGTACTGCCCACCTTAAATTTGCCAACACAATAACGCTTAAAATTATAAAAACATAGGAAAACAAATTCAAATTTTTCTTCCCATTCATAAAGGTTTCCTCCGAAATAATCTGCTAAACTTCTTTTGAGTCTTAAAGACAATCCTTTTTTTCTCCCCTGCAATACAAGAAAAATTTTATTTCTCTTCTCCTCTTCACATCTCATTAAACACTGTCTTAATGCCCAGCAAGATAACAGACAAATGCATTTGATAAACAAATAAAAAACTTATGATTTATTGAGAAATTTTTTGACCACTGTCAAAAAAATTCAAGTTTTTCAAAGACACTAGTGATAATCAAATGTTGCTTCCCCAATCCGTTCACTTCCTAAACACATCTGGTTAGCAATAAAAATCTCATTTAAACTTGGAATTTTCTTTGCTATCTACGTGAGAAGCTGGTAAAACAAGAAAAAAAATTTTTGAAAAAAGTAATAAACAACGCTATAAAACAGAAACCGAGCTGTTCCTTATACCTTCAACCTCAGTCTTCAAATAAATCGTATCAACAACGATAACAATGCAAACGGCTCTGAAGACTGAAGATTTGTTCGAGGAGAAAAGGAAAAGAAACAGGGAAGATTCCCAACATCTCGCAGCATAGATTCAATTAGTACTT